AATAGCTTGGGGTATGAGACACCCTAGAGATTCGAGATTGGGGGAAGCCGTGGTTCGAGAGTGAGTCATGTGATCTTTGACCGAGTCATACCTCATGATTAGTGAGTTTGGGTAGTCTAGTCACATAGATAGAGCACTATTTAGTGTTATAGATCATGGTTTCAGTTTGAGAAAATAAAGAAGGTATAAAGTTGGTTGATCATCGTCTATATAAGTGTATGACGTATCACAAGTTTTTGAATTGTGACAAGTCACGTGTTGTAGCGGGTCATGATCATATGTCTGAGTGTCTTGTAATTAATTATGTACCTAGCATGTGTGAGATGAAAATGTGTTAACTGGATTAATAAGTTATAATATGTTTTAAAGCATGTTTTAAGTACTTGGTTCATATACATGTGTTTAATTTACAATTGATATACAACTACACAGGGTAAGTTTTACCTTAGTTACTAAGTGGCTAGACTCACCCCTTTTATTTAACACTTTTCAGGCTCTACCTTTGGTGTAGAGAGGGAGAAGACTCAAGAGGCTAAAAATTATTTCATTCCTACTGCATGTCTCTAGTTTATATTTATTTTGTGCTATAGAATATGATTGTCAATTATAGGTTGTACATTGTGCACTTGTACTATTTTATTGTTGCAAATATTTGAATTATATTTTAGGCTATAAGTAATTGTGTATGGAGAGATATATATGTTGATAGGGCCAAAATATTAGTGTAAGTGTCGAAATGGCATTTTAAACATGTCATGACTAATTTATGAGTAAATGCAATGAAATTACCTCCCCCTTCTATTTTTGGTGAAGGGGTTGAGGAGTGATTTTGTATTAAATTGGTATTTAAGTGTATATGTTGTGTTGTAATGATGGTCCTAGGTCCAATGGATATGGTTTGGGTGTTGGGAATAGCTTTGGGCACTTGTTGTGAGTTTTAGACACCTTTTGTTTATGAAAAGTGGTAAAATTGTGTTTGGATATCCAACTTTCTAGTGTGACTTGTTTTGAAAGAGAAACCCGTGTCATTAGCTAGTTTATGAAAAAAGCTTTCTGTAGACACCTAGATCAAGTCATTCGGACGTTAGACTGAGAATCGAGACGCATAAAAAGTTTCCTGATTTTGCTATCTTGCATGCAACACGTCACAGCATATGGCGCCTGAATCACAACTTATGGCACAGGGAGCAACACGCTGCAGTGTAACATGCACAAGTCATGGCGCATTACCCTTTTTCACAACAAATAAATTGTTCTTCATTTGTTTTCATTCTTTTTCACTCCGCTGAGGTATCCCATACTTCTGTAACTTATTTTTACTGTGATATAAAAAATTATGGTTGATTTAAACTTATTTGATTTTAAAAACTTAGGGTCCCTCATTTTAAAAATAAAAACCTAGTAATCGGCTTTATGGGTTAATCCTTTGATTACCATGTATTTTATTGATTAATTGTGTTTAGTAGAGCAAGATATTACATGATTGGTGAGTTTAGGTAGTCTAATCACACAGATGGAGCCCTATTCAGTGTTATAGCCCATGGTTTCAGTCTGAGGAAATAAGGAGGGTGTAAGGTTGATTGATCATTGCCTATGTTAGTGTATGATTTGTCACATGTTTTGAGTTGTGGTAAATCGTGTGTTGTGGCAGCTCATGATCACATGTCTAAGTGTCTTTTGATTATGTACCTAGCATGTATAAGACAAAAATATGTTAACTGAATTAATAAGTTATAATATATGCTTAAGCATGTTTTATGAGCTTGTTTTCATATGCATGTATTTGATTTACAATTGAAATATAACTGTATATGGTAGGTTTTACCTTAGTTATTGAGTGGCTAGACTCACCCCTTTCATTTAACACTTTACAAGCTCTAGCTTTAGTGTAGAGAAGAAGAAAGCTCAAGAGGCTAGAAATTAGTTCATTCCTGTTGTATGCCTCTAGTTTACATTTATTTTGTGTAATAGAATATTATTGCTAATTCTAAGTTGCATACTAATACACTTGCACTATTTTGTTGTGGCAATTATTTGAAATATATTTTGAGTCCTGAGAAATTGTGTATGATGAGAAATATATGTTGATAGTGTAAAATACTAATGCAAGTGTAAAAATAATATTTTAAACATGTTTTGATTTGTTTTGATGCAATGCAAAGAAAATTACCTCCCCTTTCTTTTTTTTTAGTGAAAATGGGTTGAGGAGTGATTTTGTGCTACACTAATATTTAAGTATGTGTGATGTGTTGTACTAATAGTCCTAAGTCCAATGAATAAGGTTTGGGTATTAGGAATGGCTATTGGCACTTATTGTGGGTTTTAAACACCTTTTTTGGTGTGAAAGTTGTAAAAAGTGATAAAATTATATTTGGGTGTCCAACTTTTTAGTATAATTTATTTTAGAAGTGAAACCCATGCCATTAGCTAGTTTATGGGTTCTGTAGATACCTAAATCATGTCATTCAAACGTCAGACAGTGAATCGAAATGTATTGAAAGTTTCCCAATTTTGCTATCATGCTATCATTTGCGTGCAACGCACTATAGTGTATGGCATCTGAGCCATGGTGCATGATACAAAGAGTAACACATCGCAGCACATTGTCTTATCTCACAGTAAACATGTTATTTTTCAATTGTTTCCATTCTTTTTTGTTTCTCTGAGATATCTCATGCTTCTGTAACTTATTTTTACTTTAATATACGAGTTTGTCATTGATTTAAACCCATTTTGATTAAGTAAACTTGGGATTCATTGATTTTGAATTAAAACTTGGTAATAACCCTTATGGGTTAATCCTTTGATTATCATAAGTTTTATTGATTAATTTTGTTTAGTAGAGTGAAATTTACATGTTGTATTAACTTATCAATAATACAATCAAGTCCTATGCATCGTAATTTTTGCATTTACTTGACTCTTAAAGGAAACTGTGGTAAATGATCTTGAGAATTAGATTCGATAACCTGTCCAAAAAATTTAAGACCGAACCCAAAAAAATAATAATTTTTAATGTTCAAGCCTATTCAAGCTACCTGAATAGGCTTGAGAAAAATCGAACCTGGCCCGAATACCCAAATAAGAAATATTTTTTAGAAAAAATATATAAAATATAATAAATATTAATTAATTTTTGAATTTTGTGTCATTTTATACTAAACTACCATCTATTTGAGTCCATTATTATAGTTATTTTTTAAAAAAAATTAAAAATATTTATATTTTCATATTTTTATTATTTTTAATCAATAAAATATCTCAAAATAATATTTAAAATATATTTTAATATTTATTTTTATATCTTAAGGCCCAATTTTTTTATGAAAATTTTTTGAGTTACATCATTTGCATATCCAAAAAAATATATTTTATATTTTTTATAAAATAAAATAATTAGTTTTAAAGTAAAAATAAAATTAAAAATAATTTTACAAATAAAATTTAGGCATTTACAAATTCTTAGCTCTATCACTAGATAAACATAATAGATAGAATAATATTTTTGAATAATTATTTAATTATCATCCATGCCAAATTAGTTAAAAATTAAAAATAAACTAAAGTTAATACCCCTTATAGGTAGGAGTTAAACAATATAAAAAGTTAAAGAAAAAATAATTCCCAAAAAATAATATTTTACTCATAATTAAATAATTTTTTATATAATACAATAATGGCTATTTTTCTCATATTCTTAAAAAAAGAAAAAAATACATTCTACCCAAAAATAATTAAAATATTTGTACTAATCGAGGCAATAATTTTAAATTAGTGATCTAGCTGTGATTGAATTGAGATCGATTTAATCATAATTAAAATAATATAATGTAATTAAAATATATAAAATATTTATATATAACCATAATAAGAGCAAAATTTAAACAACTAAGACACTAATTTATAAAAAAATGAAACATTCAAGAACGCATAATATAACAAAACAATAACAGAGCTACTTAAGTACAAATTTAATAAGTTATTATTTTTTATTTTATTTTTTAAATTTAAAATAATATTTTATGCTTAATAGAATTATTTAAAAATTAAAATTGATTAAAAAATAAAAAAATATTTTTAAAAAGTTTCGAGTATTTGGATTGGCCCGAATAAGTCAGAAGATATTAGGGTTGAACTTGACTATATAGGCTTTTTTAAAAAGGATATAATACTTTAAATCCGATCCAATTTGAATCTGTTTCGAATAAACCCAACCTGCCCAAATTACTGATTTTATTGAGAACTCACTTGATCGTCTCATCCGATTCACACTTTTAAGAACATGCTTTTCTACCATGCTTGGCACATCTTTAAGGGGCGCAACGCTCTAACCCATTATTCAAGAACTGAGTCAATAGTGATTTATAAGAAAGAGTATCAATTTTTAATAGAAATCCTAAGGAATCTTGTGAAAAAGACAATTTGTGACCAAGTTGATTGATGTTGGAGCTTCCTTGACTCTGATGCTTTCACAATACACATCTTTTGGAATCCCTGAGAAGAAAAAATAAGAACTTTTTTAAGTGACTTTGCTTTACTAGCATCTGCCACATGCGTAGAAATTCATGTTCCATGGGAACAAAAATGCTCAAAAAGTAGCATTGAGGCTTCCGCTAGCTTCGTGTACATTATGAAGTCCCCCATATTCGTTCAAATCCAAACTATGTAAGCCCCTGAGAATATGTCAGAAATAAGCCAATCCGAGTTTGATTCTACTAAGCTTATTTGGAACCAATAATCGTTGCTTGCATGTTGGATCCTTATCAGAAAATGCTTCAAGTAATCAAGTTGATCCCACCACAAGATTCCAGCGCGATATGAACATTGCTTCGTCATCCCATTACCGACTAAATCATGAACTTTGCTAAGGATTGTTACAGGAAGATTCTGATTTTTTTTCAAGAATAAGCACAAGTTGCTCTATATGCCTTTATATATTGCCGACTTACAAAAAGATAAGCTCAAAACCATTATCCTGCTTAGAGAGAGAAACTAATTTAGAACCAAAAATCACTTCCTCTTGACTTTTTTTTTTTCCTCCACCATTTTTGGCAGTTTCTGGGGCTCAACAGCTTTATGGTTACAATAAAAAAGATTGTGCAAAACTTGCAAGTATTCCAGTGTCTTAATTTGGAACATTGAAATGCTTCTTTGTTCACTGATAACGTGTCCTCTTTCTATTGCCTGCCATGGATCTTGCCTTAACTAACAAGAACAACAACCCATCATTCAGCTTAACATGTTTGAACTTTTAAAACCAGTGTCCTTTGTTTGTCTGTGTGTGTAAATAATGGCCTAGTAAAACATTATCTTTTCATATCAGACTTGTGGCTTCTAGGAACCCAAGACCACTAGGCACAGTAATCAAGCTAACAAGTGGTCCAGAATTTGCAAAGCCAGCATAGGAGCCTATAACTGCAGAATGGGATTTTGGGAATTGGGACAAAGTATAAATACCTATGTGGATCTTTTCTCATGCTGTAAGAAGACATCAACGACACAGCATTATTTTTTGGTTTTTTTCATTGACGCGTGTAGTTTAAAAGTGTAATCTTTATCTAGCACTACAAGACACTTCCAATAGTGGAAGGGTCTATTTTTAATCCATCAAGGAACAACTTATTTAGATGCCACGAGAAGAGTGAAGCTTAAGAGAAGCAAGCATCTGAAGACAAACATAAACCAACACCATGAAATGTCAGAACACAAGCATTGTCGTCTTCCAAAGTACATGCACCACTAAGTGGGAACACAGGATATAGCCGAGAGATAATAAAAGATAACACTTTTATTAAGTGATGATATTCATCTCCCGCAACTTCTATTTTTATTTGAGAGAGAGCAAGAGCAAGCACTCCCAAATTGTTGTATCTTAAACTATTCTGATCTGAAAGAAGCCAAGAAGCTATGACTTTCTGCAAGGAGGAAGAAGAAATGGTGGATGAGGTATCTGTTGCAGTATCAGTATCAATGAACAAAGAAGTAGAAGTTGGATCAGAGGGAACAAGAGAATGGTTGAGTTTAGGACTCAACGGATCTGACAAACCCCAGGACATGGAGGGCGCCGAAATATCAAAACCATTCCAGAATAACAAGGTATTCTCATGCAATTTCTGCATGAGAAAGTTTTATAGTTCACAAGCCCTAGGGGGTCACCAGAATGCACACAAGAGGGAAAGAGGAGAGGCAGAAAGGAACCAATCTCATAGAATGACGATGGTGGCGTCAAGGTCACTGGGAGTGCAGACACACTCATTTGTGCACAAGCCAAGCAGAGAAGCGTCAGGCATGGCGGCTCGATTCTGTGGTGTCAATCATGGGTTTCAAATGCCATATTGGATGCCGTTTATGGTAGAACAAGCTATGGATTTGAGTTGGCCAGGAAGTTTTCGTGTGGATTTGCCAAAACAAGAATCGGATGTAAATAAGCTTGACTTGGATCTTCAGCTCTGATGCACTTCACTCACAGCTTTCTTGATGTTTGGTCTTCACACGTAATGTGTTACACAATGCTAATAGAATATTAAATAAAAACGGTAATTTACTGTTCTTGTATTACCTCCTTGTTCTGCTATGACGATCAAGTTTTCTCCTTACGAGTTCAATTCCCCTTTTCATAGTTTTTGTTAGAATAGTGGCCAAACAGACAATATTGCAGCAGAAAACAGGGTGAGTATAATGTCACAATCTAAAATGCAAAGCGAGTAGAATAACACACAAGTTGGAGATAAAACTCCTGCATCATTCAATCAACTATTCAAGGGACAACTTCAGACAGAGTCGAAAAAACAACTGAGAGAGAAATTCCAGAAAGAGCGAGAAAGTTAGAGAGTAAGTAACAGAAGCAAAGGCAATCCACATTTTCCATAACCACTCTCGTAACTTCCACGTGAACCTTCTAGCGCGAGAACTCCCGCGCAATGCGTTGTGTCCCTCAACGCCAACTGCTTTCCCACTTGTACCTCCTAAGCCTTTGTGGAGTACAAGTTAACAGCTGAGTTACCAACTGGACACGTATACGTCTCATATAATTACGAATTAGAGAGCGCATTAGTTTAGTTGTAAAGACGTATTGAAGAATCTTGAGATTTTTTTTTTTTTTTTAGACTAAACACAGAGTCTTTGTTCCTTTCGAAGGACATGTTATGATAAGTCACTAAAATATGCGTTTCATGGTCACAGGGACATGAGGCAGGGTTTATTCTAAATTCACACGTTATAAATTTATATAACAGTCGAGATCTAACTTCTGAGTTTTCACTCCGTTTCTCACTATTCATTCATAGTTTCCATAAAAAATTAAATCACACACGTTCGTTTGGAACCGTATACCTCAGAGAAGGGGGCATGAATAACAACCTTCTTTAGCCAGAAAATCAGCGACCAAGTTCTACTCACCTGGCACACGTTTGTTTCTGGGCCATTAAGTGACTCAACCAGTATCTTGGAGTTACTTTCCACAAGGCCCAAATCCCAAGCGAGAGATTTAAGCCCTTTAACACAGCCCATTCCTCAGCCTCCAAAATGTTGCACCTTCCATGTCATAACTAAAACTAGCTAGAGGCAATAATTCAGGTAATAAGCTCAAAAAATCTTAATTTGGGTTTTGAAGTTTAGAAAACTTTTTTTTATTTGGATTTGTTCTGGCCACTTGAATAACCCAAGAAATTTAGGCCAAATCTGAACCCTAAATAGGTTTGATTTGAATGCCTAAATTCTTTTTTATTATAATAAAATAAAATTAAAACAAGATAATTGAAAATCTTGCTTTTGTTTATGATAAAAATGAAATTTTCTAAAAAAATAAAAAATAAAATAAAAGAATATTTAACATTTTGAAAATTTGGGATCAACCCAAATAAATTTAAAAGCTTAAAGTGTTAGGATCGGGTTTTTTATATAAATTTTTTATACATTTGAATATTTTAAGTTCAATTCACTTGAAGTATTGGTTCTAAACCCCCTTATCAAGTTCCGTGGCACCTCTCAAAAACCCCCCCAATCAAGCAATGACAGTTGAAGGAACATAGAACCATCCACATTTAATTTGCATCAGTTAAGGCGTTTTTTTTTTTTGTATTTTTTGTGTCTTAACTTTAATGGCCGTCATCTTTCAAAGCTTGGGCTTATTTTTGGATCTATGTACAGACCCCCTTCTGAGTTTCTACTGAAAACTTGGGCTGGTCGTATAAATTAAGAATGGTCCACTACTCAATCCCCGGCCCATTAATGGTCTACTTGCCCCCTTCTTGTCCTTGTGGACCACAAGTTTCCACTCAATTCAAGTAAGGTATTACTGCATGCTTAATTAGTTAATTATACACTGCAAGATTCAAACGACACAAATTAGGATTAATGTTTAGGATTCTTCTGACCGGGGTTTTGTCCACTATCGTTTATAAGCAATGAATTGTCTTGTCTTTTAAAACTTGACTGTGGACTCGGGGACATTCCAACGGCAAGTTCATTAAATAAATAAACTCAGGTAAACACACGCATCTTCAATGTTATTTTGCCATGCAAAAACAAAAACACAGAATAATTATGCTTATTAAGTGAGCATCTATCTTGTTCTTACGGTCTGAAGCTTTGTAACATATACCAATTCTAAATACAGTTATATGGAGTTCCCTTTATTATGTCATCAGCTGATAATCTAAGAGAGATAAAAGGGAAGCTTAATTTTTACACGTATTATCAGGAATAGAATGGTGTGGAGAATTCTTTGTATATAATTCAGAGAGATTCATATCCAATTTAAACAAAGATCACAATACTGAAACAAATCATAATAGGTTTGGGGAAGCCTAGTAGACAAGAAATCAAGAGCTTTAGTAGCCCGTCAGAACTGGCCTTTCATTTCCGGGAGACATGGAATATGAACGTACACACTGATGAGTAAATAAGTAACCTAGGAAAAAAAAGAACATGTCTTCCCTACAAATTCAGGCATATGAACATGTCTTCCCTACAAATTCAGGCATATGCATAACTTGCTAATAATATAATGATGCTATTAGCCAGCTGTTCCCCTACAACATCATCGATCAGTCAGCCTCAGCCATGTGATTTGTGAGTTGTGACGCTAATAGATACATCAAAGTAGTGTGAAATTTCAAAGGTAGGCCTTAGACCCACAAGATGAGCTTCTAGGGTTCAAAGGACCTTACCCATAAACCAGTCACACATTCCTGCCATAGAATTCATTTCAACACTGCAATGAAAGCTAATGTGTCCCTTTTCTCTATATGTCTTGAATGACTTTTTCAGAGGATCCAAATTTGCCCTGAAGAATATCTGCCCTTGGACTTAGCTGCATCATTTAACTACTACCACTGCCTGTAATCACATGATCAAGCAAATGATAATTTGCTTTTGATTTTGAGTATAGATTCTGTCCCTTCGTCAACTTTTAGTAGATTAGGATCTAAACTTCAAGGCTCTTAAATTATGTTGCTGTTGATGGCTAACAGTACAGCTTTAACTATTCTGTACCCTTCATCGAATCCCTTACGTAATTGAATTGTATTCTTGAACGGTTTGTTTTTCTTCAATTGATGGCGATGATGATGATGATGATTGATCTTATATATATATACACACACACCCCGTAGGCTTATGCTTTTATCTTCGTTCCCTTTAATCTTTTCCTTATAAACATTGTACACCAACACATGATCCATTTAGGGTTTGGCGTCAATTTTAGCCTCTAACATTTTTTTTGTTCTACGTATAGACTATGGTTCAGAATAATATGCAAGCTTGCACGGACTAGGTGAAAATTATGGCTGATTATGTGTGTGGTTATGGTATCTTCTCTCAATAACCCAGTGGCCCAAAAAATAAAAAAAAAATAAATTTTCTAAAATAAAAAAATAATAATTGGGTCATATGAAATACAAGAAGGACAAGAAAGCTCGCAAAGGACTTCTTTAAAATTAAATATATATGTAAAATTATTTTAGTACCATCTTACAATTTTAAAAAGTTATGATTTCCTAAATCATTTAGTTATTAGTGAAATCAAAACATATTTATACCAAATTTATAAAACTATATAAATGAGTTGTACTTTGCTAAAAAATAAGTTATAATTTTCTAAATCATTTTAATCATTTATAGACCAAACTTATAAATACTTATACCCAAACTTTATAAGCCATAAAAAGTAGTTGGATTTTGCTAATTGAAGAATAAGAAGAAAAGTAGAAAGTTATAATTTCTAAGTCTTTTACTTATGGAGGAAACTAAACTTATAATACTTATATCAACTATATGAACCATATAAAATTAGTTGTAAAGAGGTACTAAAAGAAGTTATATAGAAATTAATCTCAAAAAACTCTTTTGAAACCTCACTATCATTATCATTTCTTATTTAAAAGGGATTTATCTGTCTTTCTTTCTAAAAAAATATATAGTAGCTCAGGCCTAAAATAAATATGGCTCTCCTATGAGATAAAATATTTTTTATGGGCCCACACGTTTTTTTTCCAAATTAATATACTAAAATATAAATGAAAATGACATCTTTATTAGTTTTATGAATGATTCTTATCATATACATACATAAATACATACATATATATATCTATATATATATATCATACTTATTGGCGTTTGGTTATATACGAGAGCACCTCAGTCGCTGCTTGGTATGCCGTGAGATGTATTCCATCATAATTTTTATATAATTTTATGAAAGAGACATATAGTCTGCTTTATCTATGCATAGAGACCTACTAATATTTTAACCTTATGATTGGAGGTTTGTCCTTTTTTTTAATTTGTAGAGTAATTTGTAGTATATACTTTTTATTCGATTCATAGTAAATTAACATCAATGGCTAAAGTAGTGAAGATTTTAATTTTAGGGGCCTATGCATGGATTCATCATAATAAACAACAATCTGGAATTACTAATTATCCTTTTAAGGCTAATAATTCTTGAACAGATAGTTACAAATTAAATCATGTAATGAAATATATAATAATATATTTATTATATATGGAAGCCATTCTCAGTAGGCCCGTTTGGAAAACTATTTAACGCTACACGCTATACACCATTTATTCAATGTGCTTTAATATAAAGATTTTGAGAAGAAAAAAAAAAAAGCTTAATATTAGCAACTGACGCGACTAAATTAATTTTTCACTGAAAAAAGGAGTAAATTATTTTAGAAATGTATGGTTTACTGTATGTATAATTAAGATGCTCCATCGACCAAGCAACATATCCTAAATTATGAGTGAATCATACGTGCATAATAGTTTTACTGAAATTAAATATTTTCTTTTCATTATTCTTGAAATTAAATTATTATAATTTTAAATTTTTTTCAAAAATATCTTTCCTTAACTTAACTATTTAATCTGGCCAGAAAAGATGGATTAAAAAAAAATCATGTGTGTTCCATGGAAGCAGTTCAGACCAAAAATTGAAATTATATATATAACATATCTATGTACTTGTTAATAAAAAATCATATATATGTAATTTAAAAAAGAATGTTTGCATAATTTACCCGTAAATTATCAAACATTTTATATTTTGT